CCTGAACTAGATTCTGCAGGAAGGTGTATTTCTAGGACCAGTGGTCTAGTCCCCCTTTGGTTTGTGCTTGGACCCCTTTCATTGCTGCTTGTTGTAATTTATTATTATTGTATACTGAAGTTTTCTATGATGTTCTAACAGGTTCCAAAGCTGGTTTGGGGTGCTGGAGAAAAATCTTGCAGGTCACTTTGCTCTTGTTTTCCCAGTTGTCACCTATCACACACCCCACCATGCTCTCTGTCACTTCATTCTCTGTCTTTCTCAGGCTCTATATAGCCAGAACCTTACAGATTCAACACCCAGACCTCAAAAAAACACAACAGTGTTATGATTGTGTTTGCTTGTGTATGATGAAACACTGTCAGTCAGGCTCCAGTTTATTTATCTTCAATCATTCTGACCTCCATCACACCTCCAAAGTTCTCTTCACACTTTCGTATGATGCTGACGCGAACCTACAGCTCTCTTTTCCTTTCTTTGAGCTGGTTTTAATTTACGAATTTCCTTTCACTGCACCAAGCAACACATATCTTCCTGCAAACGAGTATTTCTTTTGAGTCTTTCTCTGCTGTGTAATGAAGCACAGTTCCTTTAGAGCTGAGGTCACAGAGTTCAGCTTCACCAGTGCAGCTTTAAAGCCAATGGAAAGAGTTACAGTACTGTGAAAAAGTCAGAGACCTGACTATCTAAATACAAAACCCCGTAGACCACACATACAAAGAAGATGGTTCTTCAAGGGTTCTTTAGTAAAGATCACAGTTCTGTTTAGAACCATGAGTTATTATACAATGCAATTCCATGCTTAAATGGATGGGGATACTGTTGGATATGGTTCTGTATGGAGCCGTTTTGAAAATAATTCTGTGTAGCACCAAAAAAGGTTCTTCTATTGTTACAAGCTTGGCATCAAATCCTTGTCAAGTCAAGTCAAGTCAAGTCAAGTCACCTTTATTTCTATAGCACATTTAAAAGACAACAAGTGTCCACAAATAGTATTGACAACAAATAACCACTACTAACTAAACAAGACTGCACAATACATTCAACAGGGAAAAAACCAACATGTATACAAAACAAATCAGATAAAAACAATAAAACATAAATCCGCGAAAACAGTCTTTTTTAAGTGTGCACCAAAACAGTCACCATCACATAAAAAGCTTTTTTCTTTGAGAGACAGTAAAAAATTCAAGTTCCATTCTTGCTTCAGATCCTTACTGAGAAAAAATAGGCATAAAAGAAGACAGTTTGCAAATCAAACAATGAAGCTGCTGGGGTCAGAACAACGGACTGACCATCCCAGAGTCCAGACATCAACATCATTGGATGTGTTTGGATTATTTCAGAAAATGATAAACCAACTTCTAAGACTGAACTTTGGAGGTGTTTAAAAATATCCCTACAGATTTCTTCAAAAAGCTGAAAGTGAGTCTCCTGAAAAGAATGGAATCTGCAGTGTTAGAAATAAAGGTTCTCTGCAGGTACATTTTTCGTTCATCAAGGTGCAAACAATAAATAAACAAGTAAATATTCCCTCAAAGGTACAACAGTGGTTTTAAGGTCTGATTGTGAAACTTAAATACGTTTTTCCAGGTGAAAAGTTAGTATTTGTACTTTTTCATAATCAAATGTTTTAAAACAGAACAATAAAATAAAAGTCTGGAGACGAGATGGGGTGTGTGGAGTCTGACATGCACTCTTGAGGGTCCCACCCCAGTGACAAGAGGGGAACTGCCCCAGTGACAGTTTAGTACCTTTATTTCTGAGAATGTGTAATTAAGGTTGTTGAGGCTTCTGTTAAATGTACATTTTAAGCTTTTTCTTAACGCTGAAAAAAGACACTTGTACTTAATGGTCCCTTTGACTAGAAATTAAATAAATGATGGGTGGTCTCTGTCTTTTGCATGTAAGTTTAACATTACATACAAACTCAGAATACATGTGTAGGTTCACTGGTTATTCTGGATAGTAATTAAATGGGTATATTTGTGTCGTACATATCATGACCCACTGTAAAGACATCTGAGTCTGCATGTTTCTCTAAAACAAACCATTTTGTAAGACTTGATCTGAGTCTTGAAGATCTGAGACTGAATTACACAGAAATGTCGAAAAATCAGTAAAATTCCTGTTTGAATGAACATTTGCAGGTATTTTGCATTGAAAAATGACAAAGAAAATGAAATGAAAATAAAGCATGTAAAAGAAGGCACAGTGTTATTTTTTTTTATTTATTTCCTTAATGTAACCTCTTTCCAGTCCAGCTCCTGTTGGTACTGTCTTTAGAGCTGGTTTCTTAGGCCCAGATTAAGCCTAACCCTGGATTAAGTGGAATTTTTTAATGGTGCAACCCCAATGACATGCAGTTTAATCCACGACTACACTCTTAAAAACAAGTGCCACAGTGATGCCAGAGAAAAACCCTTAAAAAACAGGTTTCAAAAAGGGATTTGTGAGCATAAAGAACCTTTTAAAGGTTTAAAGAATCTTCACACAATGTAGAACTTTTAGAACTTTTACATTGTGTGGAGATTCAAAACTTCAAAAAGGTTCTTCACACTCACGTCTCATTTACTAAAACAGAACTGTCAATTGGAAGTTTTTAGGGAACCAAAATTGGTTCTTCTATGGCCCAGTACCTTTATTTTTGAGAGAGTATAATCCATGTCCACAGAGCAGGTCCATAGAGTTTAATTCTAAGCCTGATTTAGCACGTCTGATAAAGCTAGTCAGTGTCTCCAGGAGCATCTAAATCCCAGAGAGAGGTGTGTTGGGTTTGGAGGTGTTCTCTCTCTCTCAGCCTCTGGCGTGGCAGACTGCAGTAAACGGCTCTGACTGCACCTGAACTAAGTGCACAAATAATCACCAACGCAAACTCTCACACAAAGCAGCTCTGAGCAGAGCTTTCCTTCCATCTGAATGCACTTCTCTCTAAAGATGAATAATGTGATTATCACGCACCACATTCACTCAGATTCTGAGTCGATTAATGCAGATTTCATTATCATGAAAGAGCATGAAAGAGAGAGAGAGAGAAAGAGAGAGAGAGACAGACAGTGAGAGAGAGAAGGTTAGGAGAGAAAGAAAGAAAGAAGGATAGGAGAGAGAGAGTGAAAGAGAGAAGGATAGGAGAGAAAGAGTAACAGACAGAGAGAGAGAGACAGACAGTGAGAGAGAGAAGGATAGGAGAGAGAGAGAGAAAGAGAGAGAGAGAGAGAGAGTGAGAGAGAGAAGGATAGAAGAGAAAGAAAGAGAGAAGGATAGGAGAGAGAGTGACAGACATACAGAGAGAGAGACAGAGAGAGAGAGAGAGAGAGAGACAGAGGAAGAGAGAAAGGAAGAGAGAGAGACAGAGACTGAGAGAGAGATAGAGAGAGAGAGAGAGAAAGAGAGACAGACAGACAGAGAGAGAGAGAGAGGAGAGAGAGAGAGAGAGAGAGAGACTTATTCTCTGTTACACATAAAACTACCATATTAAAGTATGTATTTAAAACTATTACTGACATCTGACTTAAAGGAGCACTGCCCTCTTGTGGATTTAAAAGGTATTGTTACATTTTGTTCCTGTCCATAAATAAATAAATACATAAAATACTTTCTTTTAATGTAAGTTAATATAAAGACATTTTATTGTAAGTAATTCTGGAGCATTTGTATTGATTCATTTTCACACAATGTAAAGATGTAAAGGAGATCTGCTGAGCCCAATGCTGTAGAAATAACAAAAAAAAAAAACTAAAAAAAAAATTAAAAACTTCTTTTTTTTGACAGCAATGATTCTTTTCTCATTTGATTTCTCACTAATTAAACCAATACTTTTCTCAATAACCGTCCACTTTTCTTTGTTTTGGAAACACAGATTAGTGAATAAGGGACCGTCTCACGTATTTAACTAAAAGAAGGCAAAATCAAGTCAAACCCTTTAAGCCTTCTACAGATCCCAGTGAAAGTACGGCACTCTACCAAAATGATTTACTTAAATAGGTCCACGGATCATGAACTTGGCTTAATATTTTTAAAAACAAGTTCCTATGAAGGATGGACTCCTCAACCTTCTACTTTTTCTCAATATTTCACTCTTTTCTGACTTATTGATCTCTTATTAGTATAAAACCAGTGGGCCTGTTGTCTAAATGTTCACAGCAACTGCTTACTACTGGTTACTATCTTGCATTTAACCCAATAAACAAGTAGAAGTTAATACTTTTTTTTAATGTTGCTATTATTATTGTATTTTTAAGCCGACAACTAATTTGCTGTTCGTGTTTCATTTTTCAGTGCTGGAGTTTCTGACCGCTGCATTTTTAAATTAGGGTTTTTACAAGATTTTTACACTATAGTTTTTCAGTGTGTAATGAATACTCAGCCAATCAGAGGACAGTGATGTCACAATGCGATAAAAACAAGACACCGCCCACAAGTGAAGTACCGCGTCTCGTGTGGCCTCACAGTGGATGTCACCGTGCCCCCTGTGCTGTCATAATGAGGCCTATAAAAGCCCAAATGTGGTCAATTTTCTTTCTTTTTTTACACTCTACTGTTTTACACTTGAGCTGTGCGCATGAGCCTTGCGAGAATTCATTTTTGATCAACTGACCAAACCAGAAAGGCTGGTGACTTAATCATGCCTGACCAGAGAAAGAAGAAAAAGAAGAAGACGGGCCGAGTTGTGGTCAACCTGCTGCTGTGCTCCTCCTGAGCTGCTGCAGAGGTGGAGCTTCAGAATGTGAGGAAGACCAGACCATTTGTTACAAGCAGAGTTGATCACTGTAATGATCTTCTTACTGGACTTCCTAAGAAAACAATACATCCTTTACCATTCATACAAAATACAGCAGCAGCACCCTAACAAAAACAACACAGAGAGATCAGATCACTCCTGTTTTAAAAGAGCTGCACTGGCTGCCTGTATCGCTCACTAGTTCTGCTACTAGTTTTTAAGGCTCTAAATGACCTCAATGCACCACTTACATCTCAGAGTGTCTGTTTGTTTATGTTCCAGCACGCAATCTTAGATCTGCAGATGCTGACCTTCTGCAAACACCTCTGTAAAATACAGAAAACATGGAGAGACTCGTTCAGTTATTCTGCTTCTAAACTGTGGAGCTCAACTCCACCTTTTATTGGTCAAGTTCAGTGCTCACTTTTAAGAAGCATCTAAAAATGTAAAAACAAATAAAAACGTATAAATTAATACTTATTTGATTTCTTGTATTACTGTTAAACTTTATCACCTGTCTGTAAAGCACAGAAACGTGCAATGTAAATAAAAATAAAAATAAAAATTATAATTATTATTATCATAACAACAATTATGGCATATAAATAAGTTACAATAAGTTAGCAAAAAGTTCTTACAACAATTTCAAAATGATAAATATTATATACTGCATAGATTTAAGATGTTTTTTTGCAGCGTGACTTAATGCGTGAGTGACTGAATGACATGAGATGTTCTGAGTTACTGTATCACACCCTCATGAGCATCGGTCAATACTACCACGGGCAGATCAGCGCTGACCACTCAATACCGGCCCGAGGCAGCTGATTGAGTCTTGTGAATAAAATCTCTGAGTCTATATTTAGTGGACTACTTAAAAACTCTCTCGTGGTGGGCAATAAACCACAGGCCAGTCAAAAGCAGACAGTTCTTCTTTTGTTACATAAGCAAAAACGTGATCACCAAAAGCATGAGCGGAAATCTCTGCATGGCTGTTAGTGTGGAGATGCGGATATGTAGGGCATGTCCGAGTGCGGACATGATTGATGCCCTATTTTGTTCAGTGTAATTAAAATGTCCTCTTGCCTGGAGCTAACTTACTGCTTCACCAGCTCTGGTCACCGCATCCCGCAGAGTTACTATGGCAACACCCACGACTCGATCATACTGACTAATACTATATCCACTGTCCATCACAGCAAAATCACCCAGGCTGAATTAACTCGCACACTGTCCAGAAGCAACCGGTCAACTTTTACATGGAGTGAGCTGGACTTAAACGATCACTGCAAGGATTAATTCAGCTCAGGTGATTTTACTGCACCACCATTCAAAAGTCTGGAGTTTTCCTATAAGTTTTGGTATTTTATACAAAACAGTAACACTGTATATTTAAATACGATCACAGGGGTATTCAAACTTTTATGTGGTATAATGTATATATACACTTATTGTCCATTCTATCAGCTCCACTTACTATATAGGTGCACTTTGTAGTTCTACAATTACAGACTGTAGTCCATCTGTTTCTCTGCATACTTTGTTAGCCCCCTTTTACCCTGTTCTTCAGTGGTCAGGACCCCCATGGACCCTCACAGAGCAGGTACTATTTGTGTGGTGGATCATTCTCAGCACTGCAGTAACACTGACATGGTGGTGGTGTGTTAGTGTGTGTTGTGCTGTTCTGAGTGGATCAGACACAGCAGTGCTGCTGGAGTTTTTAAACACCTCAGTGTCACTGCTGGACTGAGAATAGTCCACCAACCAAAAATGTCCAGCCAACAGCGTCCTGTGGGCAGCGTCCTGTGACCACTGATGAAGCACTAGAGGATGACCAACACAAACTGTGCAGCAGCAGATGAGCTATCGTCTCTGACTTTACATCTACAAGGTGGACCGACAAGGTAGGAGTGTCTAATAGAGTGGACAGTGAGTGGACACAGTGTTTAAAAACTCCAGCAGCACTGCTGTGTCTGATCCACGCAGACCAGCACAACACACACTAACACAGGTCCATGGGGGTCCTGACCACTGAAGAACAGGGTAAAAGGGGGCTAACAATGTATGCAGAGAAACAGATGGACTACAGTCTGTAACTGTAGAACTACAAAGTGCACCTATATAGTAAGTGGAGCTGATAAAATGGACAATGAGTGTAGAAACAAGGCCGTAATTGCATATTGCATGCAGGCACACACATATATGCATATAGGTCTAGTATATTAGAATCATTTTATACAATATCTGCAACAAAATCTGTTTTATATGTCTTGAAAACACTCATTCCAAACTTTTGAATGGCAGTGCCACAAATTGCAGTCACTAATACTGCATGACATACAAATGAAATGATATCAAGCCATGGACCTTTGTCTGGAACTGGGTTTGGCAGCCACGTCTGCTGCAGGCTGGGACTTTGCCTGCCAATTAAAACCAAATCAATGCTCATATATTCACACCATTGACAAGTTCTGCTGCAGCGCAGAGGCTGTCATCTAATCCACTCAAATCAGTCTGTTCAGATTAGGATCAGCCCATGCTTGATAGAGGCCATGAAGATCCTCCTCGAGTAAATGATTTACCTCTCAGAAAGCATTTCTCTCTCTCTCTCTCTCACTCAGTGTATTTGTGCTCTGTTACCTCGTGACACAGCCAAGGTCCTGCCCGTCTCCGACTCAGCACATTTCTCTGATCCCTTGGCTGGCAGTAAACAAGTGACATAACCACAGTGTCTAGAAAGAGAGTCTGGAGAAAAGAATGAAAGTGATACTTTGGCAAAAAAATATAATTGTCACAATTGTAAGTTTGCTGTGTTTGGTACATAAACAAAGTGGACCAAAGTGTAGAACAATAAAAGAAAAGAATAAATGTAGGAAATGGGTACTTTAATAACTCAATGCAGTTTGAGGCAAGTATATGATGATTTAGGTTTGCAGTTTACATTGATTATTGGTGAAGTATAAGTTTCCATTACTTATTAGCTGCATTAGCCTTGCAGCTACAGTGCAAAAAAACATATCACTTTTTACCCGACCGTTTTCCAACCTCTCTTTATCCCTAAAAATTAAACAGGCTGTTTTTGCTACTGTGCCTTTAAGAAACATACAAATGCCCTGTGTTCTGATTGGCTGCCCTGTATCGTGCCTCATTAAAAAGACAGTCCAGGCTTTAACATGCTGCTATTACTGTGAGAAATGTGACGTACTTTATACATTTTTATAGATAATGCAAAGCAGGTTGAGGCAATTGTGTGATAATGTGTGTAATGGCAGTTTGCATGATGCTAATTGGTGGAGTGTATAAGCATCACTGACTTGTTAGGAGTTGTTAACAGTCCAGGCTGAAACACTCCTTATAGCTTCAGTTTTAAAGGGTGGAGCTAAACTGCTGTAGGCTGAATAGGCAAACATATGTAAATGGTTATATTTTGTGACATCACAAGAACAACTGAGGCAAAATGGTCTGTTTTTCAGCTTAGTTTTCCCATTTATAGAGTATATGGACTGGAGACATTTTGAAACTTTAGCAGTGTTTACATACTGCATAAAACCCTTTTATTAAAAAAAAAAGAGAGGAAAAACTGGCTTTCGATAATATGGGACGTTTAAATCATCTCTAATAGATTTGCTTATGTGATCTCTGACACCATATGACATACTGTTGTCTATAAAAATGAACAAAAGCACAGACAAAATTCAGGCTTTAAGATGCTGCTACTGCTGTTTGGAAATACAATGCAGTTTGAGGCAGGTGTGTGGTGATGTGTGTGAAATTGCCATGCAGTTTACATGATGCTAATTGGTGGGGTATAAGCTTCCATTACTTGTTAGCTACATTAGCCTTACAGCTACAGTGCAAAAAGCCATTTCATTTTTTACCCGACCGTTTTCCAACCTCTCTTTATCCTTTAAAATAAAACAGGCTGTTTTTGTTACTGTGCCTTTAAGATATGTGCAAATGGTGTCTGTTCTGATTGGCTGCCCTGTATTGTGCCTCATTAAAAAGACAGTCCAGGCTTTAAGATTCTGCTATTACTGTGAGAAATGTGACGTACTTTATAAATTTTTATAGATAATGCAAAGCAGTTTGAGGCAATTGTGTGATAATGTGTGTAATGGCAGTTTGCATGATGCTAATTGGTGGGGTGTATAAGCATCCAGTGCTTGTTAGGAGGAAAATAAGATGTATTTGATTTGCAGCCTCACACACAGCTCTGGCTGGTCATTCTGTGTGGACAGCCCAGGCTGTAATAGGACTCTCCAGCTCTCCACTCGAGCCACTGAATGTACAGTATGAAAATAGCTTATCGAGGAACAGCATGTGTAGTGGCATGAGTTCACCTGTCTCTAATCAACTGCAAGCTTAGCTGGACAAGACACTTTGTGCTGACACTTTTCCAAATCTTTTGGAATCTGTTACGTACGTTATGTTCTGCACGAATAAAACAGAAAAAATAAGAGTCCGAGATCAGTTTGAATACATTAGACACTTCAGAAGTTTGGAAGAACTTGTCAAATTAATCATTGCTGCTAAGTTTTCAAAAACGACTCAAACAGTGCAGATTGAAATATTATGAACTGTTTACCAGAAGGTCTTTTCGATTTTTGATTCAATATTTCAAGTTTTTTTGGAACTCCAAGAGGTTAATTATCTGTCCATAGTAAAATCCTGCCATGTTATCTGCCTCGAGATTTGATCACGGCTTTCAAAATTAAAGGCAATCTTCTGGGTATTATTTTATTCTAACTCATTCTTGATGGCTTGACAGTTATTTTAGAATCATTTACTGTTCATAGAAGCCCATATTCAACAAGTAGAGCACAAAAAATCACCTCCCAATTTTTTCCTTCTCTGTTTCCGACAGCAGTATGTCAAAATTTTACATAGTATCACTTATTTTCTCAGAATATTGATCCACTATGTCAAAATAATCACTTATTTTTTTCTAAATTATGACATGATGTTAATGAAATGACTTCTTATATTTTGAAACAATGGTTTATTATCCCAAAATTTTGACATAGTATGTCAAAAATTTGTCTTAATTATTAAAACTCTAAAGAACGTAAGTAATCATTTTGAAATACTAAGACAATATTTCAAGGAAATAAGCCATTATTAATAGTTAGTCAAAATTTTGAGAAAATAAGTGATTATTTTGAGATATTATGCCAAAATGTCAGGAAAGTAAGTCATTATTTCTAGTTATTAAGCCAAAATTTTGAGAAGAAAAGTAATTGTTTTGAGATTGAAAATCTGAGCAAATAAGTTGTTATTTTGACATTCCAAATCATCTTTAGATACTGCTACCAAAAACAGAGCCTCAAATTAGTGTGTAAGGATTTCCCTAACAGCACTGTTCATCATTCTGGACACATCAATATTTTATCTATTTTTACAGCTTGAACTGAAATCTATGAAGCTGAAAAATGTAAATGTATCTGCAGAAAAAATGATTACATTATCCAAAACACTAATTCTAAACTTCTGGCATGGCAGTGTAAGTGGCAATTTATCGACAGTAAACTGACACACTTTCATGCATGCAAACATGAACACACACACACACACCATGACCTGTGATGGTAAGCGCGGCTCCCCCAAATCAATGCCATACGACATTGAAAGCAGAAAACTCTGAATCAAAGCTGTCGCCATGGTAACCACCCCCTTTCCCACCTCACGTCCGCTGATCGATTGGGGTTCAGTGCTGGTGGGACCGACCCAGAAGAATCACTAACCTACATAGCAGGCAGAACGCACTGTCCACCAGAGAGCGGAGGCCAGTTACAGAGAGAGAGCTGGGCGAACAGCAGAGGAGGAGGAGGAGGAGAGAGAAAATTCAACAAGAGAATTAAACAAGCAGGACTGGGGTAGAGAGTGAGAGAGAGTGAGACAGAGAAAGAGAGAGAGAGTGAGGAAAAGAGGGAAGGAACTGAAAAACAGGAGAAAAGTGAACTGCGTCCACTACCAGGGGAAAATGATGACCGGTGCATTGTACCTGCTGCTGGCCGTCTGTCTCCACATCAGGCCGTTAAGTGGAGGTAAGGTGACTTGGTCTGGGCACAGTGACAGCAGCGGCTGGGCTTTAGTAGGTAGAAGTGTTCAGACTTGGCAGAGTGAAAAGGAGCAAAGAGCTTCAGAAATGCTAAGCTTGACTGGGGGTCAGCGGGGGCGGCCCCGCGCAGAAAGGAGCTCAGTGTGCCGGGTCACGGCTGGAGCAGACAGAGGGTCCTGTAGTGGGGGGTTTCAAAGGGACTTTGGGGTTTTTAGACAGCTCATGTTCTGTGAGGGAAAAGTCCAGAAAAGCACACAACACAAGAGAGGAAAGAGTTCAGAAAGTTTTATGTGGAGTATTTTTGATCAGCAAGTAAATATCTCTGTCATGGACTCTTGTAAGTGCTGGTTTTCCGGACTGGAATAAAGCCTAGACCTGGATATTTGACTTTCAGTGGAGAAACTCCATTCAAAATAGTGTGTAGTTTAGGACTAAGCTTATTCTCTGTCTGCAAAACTGACCCAAAGTGTGATAAACAACCAGGAACAATTAGAAATGCCACAGTAAAATGTTTTCTTTTCTGATGTTGATACTGGTATTGAAACCTTAGGTATCAATAGATACCAATAAGCACTAAGCTTTAAAATGAGCTATTTTCAAATGAAGCTCTTCATCTAAAGGGGAATTCCATGTCCACTTTTTCTAAATTTCTGCTCATAAATCAATCATTCCGATGTAAACAAAGTCATTCAGAGTGGTTTATTGTGAAATGTTCCATTCTAAAGAAATTCAGTGGTGGTGACTGGAACCAGATGTCTGAAGTGTGTCATCCCTCCAAAAGCTCCCTCACAGAAAGTGTTTATACTAAATGGCTATGCTAATGCATTGCTTGATGCCTGATATATTGTTTTATTACAGTTTTGAAAGAAGATTTTGAATTAAAATAATTTTGTAACTACACTCCTAGCAGAGAAGTATAAGCACTTTGTCCAAAGACAAAATAGTCCCAAAAGAAAATCTACAAAAAGGCAACTTTACAGAAGAAGGCCAAAATGTTCTTAGCTTTTCATGTAAGTTAATATATAGCGCTTTTATTCCAAGCTGTTTTGGAGCATTTCTACTGGTCCATTCAACATGAAATTCACACAAAGTAAAGGGCAGCTGTTGTGCTTAAATGATGTAGAAAAATGAAAATCGGAAAAAATGGAGACACTTTTATTTTATTTATTTATTTTTGGGCAGCGACGATATAAAAACTCTATTCCCTGGTTGTTAAATAAAATGCTTATATTTGCATGGCAGATCTTGTGACTGCTGGTTCCTATCACCACTGTAAAGAAATCAGAATCTGAAAGTTCCTTTACAATTGACCGTTTTGCCTCAAACCACTCTGAATGACTTTTTTTACATCACAACCACTAAATTAAGCAGAAATCAGAGGAGCTCTCCTTTCAGATGTGCATCTAAAAGTGGGCTTTCATGCTCAAACTGCTGAAACATTACTGGAATCAATAATAATAAAGTAAAGTTTTTGAAATTATAAAAAGAAATGTTACTGTAAAATATATAAAATGATTTATTTAATTAGTAGGAAGATGTTGGAAGCTTTTCTTAAGTTGTGTAGACATATCCAGAACCCTGAACAAAACTGTAAACGTCTGAAATAATATTTAAAAGTCAGAGGTGTCGGGTTGGCTTTTGCGTGAGTTTTTCAGACTGTCACACATTATACTGATGAAAATATGATAAACATAGTAGATACTTCACTCACATCCTTGGAAGACATGTCCTTCACCAAGTTTTGACTGAATTCTTTTTGAACACTGTTTCAATATGCTTGCAATCTTCAGATTCATCTGCTCGGGGAAGGGGTCCAAAGCACAACCTGTGTAGTGAAATGTTCTTGGACATGTTCTGTGCAATTACACATTTTAACCAGAGAGGTCCCCAAATCCCCAAATCTACAAATCCTACATAGTGTAGCTTTAAATACACTTCTTTAAGCATGCAAAACTTATTTGAATTCATTGAGCAACTTTAAATCAACGTTTTGTCTTGTGATTCACGTTTCCTGGCTGCTGATGCTTCATTTATGACTCACATTAAGGGTCATGATCATGTGGTTATAAGTAACAAGGAAATCGCAACTAGGACACAAGATATGGTTTATTCACATAGGCGTGTGACCATGCGCACACACATAGGCACACACACGCACACACACACACACACACACACACACACACACACATACATGCACCATATAACTTAGGTCTAACAACAATAGGAATAAGTGTCTGAGAATTGATCTGAGTGAGCTTTGCTATGATATAATATTCAGTGTCATGCCAGGACTTTGAAATCTGATCCTCGGCAGAGGGAGGAGGTCCATCTAGCTGCTCAGATTGTGCAGAGATGTTTACCCAAGCTTGTTTCAGACAGAAAGGGAAGTTCTGGTGTAACCACACTTCAGCATGTAATTTTAACAATGAAAAAGAGGAACAGCACATCACGTCCACACTACAACCCACAGACACATATACATATTCAAATCTAGCCACACTGTGCTGCACCTGACTCCTTAACATGACTAGACCTTGTGAATAAACCATTAACATTCACTGTGTTGTCGGTACTGCTATAATATATTAATGATATAAACTGATTGTTTGTTCCAAACGTCATTAGCGTTAATATTACATTTCAACTAGGTATTTATATGAATTTATTAATTAATTTTATTTATTTATTAATGTTATTCAATATGAGGAAATGAAAAAATAGGAGGTTTCATTTGAGGTTTTATACAAGGCTTTATATATCGCTGTTTTCGGAAGAAAACCTTGTATCTCCAAAACGGTAACTTTACAGAAGAAGGAAAAAATCTACTATACTTTTAATGTAAAACAATGGAACCAGATTTTTTCCAAGTAATTTTGGTCCATTTTTTTTTCACACAATGTAAAGGGCAACCGGCATTTTTTAATTATGTTAAAAACTGGAAAATGGAGATACGAGGTTTTCTTCCGAAAGCAATGATATATATATATATATATACATATATATATATATATATATATATACATATATATATGTGTGTGTGTGTGTGTGTGTGTGTGTGTGTGTGCGCGCATACTGTGCACACACTTTACTTTTAATTTAAGTCAATGGAACAAATCATTTTTTCCTTTCACCATGAAATTTACACACAATGTAAAGAGCAACGATGTATACATTAAAAGTTATAGCAAAAGTTATAGCACATTTTATATTTTATGTCCCAATATGTTACATGTATTATATTACATTATATGTATTATATTGTGTTATATATTACGTTATATAAGTTCAATATATTAAATTTAGTAAATAAACAGTAATTGTGCATTAGAATAGGCAAAAATGTGTTGTCTGTAGAGGATGTGGTCACTTATTTTCATTTTGAAAACCCACAAAACATGTCAGTTCACTAAAGGCACCCAAACTTTCTTTATACGACCGTGTTCCATAACATAACAAATAAAAAAATAACAAATATCCAATACTAGCTATAATAAATACTAGCTGAAATGTCCCTTTAAAATAGTGATGATAGCAAAAGTGTGTTGTCAATCACCAAATCATGTTAAGAATGTACAGATGGTTTTGAGATCACTTACTTGATTCAAATGTGTTCATCATTTCCACATAGATACAGTATATTACATCTCAACAATGACGGCTAAACAGTGAGTAAACAACATAATAAGCAAGACACCCATAATGGTGTACTATATTTTATATTCATGGTGAAATACACATATTTGAATCAAGTAAATTCAGTACATTACTATTGTCAGTAAATGCACATAAGAGGACATACCTGCAGATCCACATGCTCAGTATCTCCCTGTTTGCCCTCCTGCAGGTCTGCTGAAGTTGGAGGGTGAGCTGGAGGGCAGCACTGTGATCAGTCACTCTCAGGGTTTGGTGGGCCGCCTGGAGACCCTCCTCCTCCAGGGGAACAGCAGTGACGTGTCCCTGCGTGTGGAGACGGCGGACGGCGACGAGGTGAAGCTGATCCAGGCCCACGCTTTGGTTCTGTCCCTACAGAGCCCAGCATTCAACCGCATGCTGCAGACCCGCAACAGCAGCACACTGGTCCTGCAGGAGAATGCAGACTGCGTGGCCGTCTTCGAGAAGTTCATCAGGTCAGCTCTTGACTGGACACACACAGCAAAGAAAACAGTCAAAGTTTGTAGACACCCTTTTCCAGTGTTTGTTCTGAAATCATGGTATTAATAGGACGCTTGCCTCTACTGTTCTGGGAAGGCTCTACACTATATGTTGCAACACTGCTGTGAGGGTTTGATTGCCACAAGAGCTCAGGTACTGATGTTGGATAATTAGTTCTGGATCGCCACTCAAACTCATTCCAAAGGTATAGGATGGAGCTCCAGCACTCCAGAGAGCACAGTTGCACTCTTCCACAGCCCAGTGCTGGAGGGCTTTGTAGCCAACACTTGGCATTGGGCATGGAGACACTAGGCTCACGTGTGGCTGCTCCAGAATATCCCATTCTATTATCAGTGCTTTTTAAAGGAAGTTATCAAAGCTATATGTGTGCAACTGAATGCAAGGGGTGCACCTTAAATTTGCAGAATTCACTAATTAGAAAGAGGCATCTGGACACTTTTGTGTATGTATACGAAGGCCAGGGGTAATCCAGGCCCAGAGTTGTGAAACACTGATCAAACACTGTACATCTTAGAGAGCAGCAGAAGCAAACTTGTAACTCTTTGAAATACATGAAAGACATGAAAATCATTGAAACACTTTGATGTGACAGAACCACTACTGAGTCAGTAACTCACTCGGTGGAGCTGAATGCAAATACATTACCTCTGCAGGTAAAACCTTACAGAATGCCAAGGGAACACACAATATGTCCCTCTAGTGGTCAGCAGCTGAAAAGCAGCCCCCCCTCCCCAGCAAGGGGCACAACAAGAGATAAGATCAATCAGACTCTGCTGATTGCAAATGAATTGGCTGTATTGGATTTAGCTTCTCATGTGCAAAACAGAGCACAGGGAGCAATATTACTGTGCTTGTTTTTCTTACCTCATATTTGTAGAATAAGCTGATTTAGGGTTATGTTAGCACCTAGGATAAAATGATGGATACGTTCCAAACAGAACCCAAATACATACAAATGTCATGTATAAAAAACTGTGTTCCCTTTAACTCTGCACTAAAAAGCCTGCTGTAGAAAACCAGCCGTAATTTAATTTAAAGTTTGAAATGGAGCCAACGTCTGTGCAGCTACTTGAAGAAGAGCCTAATATGGTACAGCAATAAATACGCTTTATTGCTTAATTCCTGTTTTTTGTTTGGATGTGATCTATGAATCGTGTTGATATTCATGATCCATATCTGTCATTAGTGTGGACACGCCTCTGGCCTAAAAGGACAATATCAGTATTGTCATAGGGATGGTCCACTTGCGTCACGAACAACAATAAAAACATAATATTTACGATACAGTCCATCCTTGCCATAGCGATGCAGCTCTGTCTGTGCTGGATGATGACCACAGTGATATTAGCACAGTGATGCAAAGTAAAAATTAATAAAATTTGGTGTTGACAGATGACACAAAACCTATTTTTTGTCTTAATGTTACAAGGTCTGATGTTTTTAGAGCTGTGTGGACACACAAATCTGCTCTTTTCAAATCAGATCTGAGCCACTTTTATATGTGGCCTGAGATTGGATTGGATTGCATATCAGATTCATTGGATTGCATATCAGATTGCCGTGCAACCTTCAGAATCAGAATCACTTCATTTCGCCAAGTATGTTACACTTACAAGGAATTTGTCTTGGTGAGTCACACATGCATGACATGTACCAAGCAAACAGACTGTTAACAAGAATTTATCAAAGGGAAAATTAAAATAAAAATACAACAAATAGAATAAAGAATAATGAATAATAAAGAGCTGTGGAGGAGTTAAACAGAAGTGTGTATATCATATATAGAATATTACAGAATGATACGAAAATGTGCAGAAATGTAACTTCTCTACACTCTTAGAAATAAAGGTGCTGTGCTGGTACATTTATCAGTCATCAAGATACAAACAATGTAATTTTACCCACAAATGTACAAAGATGGTTTTAAGGTCCAACTGTGAACCTTAAATAAGTTTTTCCCAGGTGAAAAGTACATATTAGCACCTTTTTTTTATAATCTAATGTTTTAAAACAGACCAATAAAATAAAAGCCTGGAGACGAGACGGGGTGTGTGGAGTCAATACAATTTAGAGAATATAATTTCCATGGATTATGGTACAGTTATGTTCCCTGACTAAAGGTACTGAGATGTACCTCTGAGGGAACCACCCCAGTGACAATAGGGGTACTGCCCCAGAGAGTGTATAGTTGTGCAAATAGCATTACGTTACAGAGGAGTTACTGTAATACAGTAAGGAGGTTGTAGAGTGAGTGTGAGGTGTCCACTGTGGTTGATGAGCTGTAGACCTCTGAGGAAAAAGCTGTTAGCGTGTCTGGTGGTGCTGGTTTGATGGTCCTGAATCTTGTACCAAAAGGACGTGGTGGTAAGAGGTGATGTCCAGGACAAGAGGGGTCAGCTGTAATTTTATTGGCGCGCTTTGTCACTCTGCTGTTGTAAATGTCCTGAAGCATTGGCAGACTACATCGGATGATCCTTTCCACTGTCCTGATTACTTACAAGTAGTTTAGTTCGTTCTTGTGAGGTGGAGGAACCAAACCAGATGGTTATGGATGATGTGATGATTGCTGTGAAGAACTGAATCATCAGGGCCTGTGTCAGGTTGAATTTCTTCAGCTGTCTCAGGAAGAACGTTCTCTGCTGGCTCTCTTGGCTGCTGAGATTGTGTTCCTCCTCCACTTCAGGTTCCTGGATATGTTGACGCCCAGGAATTTAAGTGACTCCTCAGTGGAAACCACAGAGCCATTGATGTTGAGGAGGGGTGGGGAGGGACGATTGCGCCTAAAGTCCACCACCATCTCTACAGTGTTTTGTGTGTTGAGCAGCAGGTGATTGCTGCTGCACCAAGAGAACAACTGGTGATGAAGTCTACACCTTAATAAACCTTAATAAAAATGGTGAGAATTTATGCAGCATAAACAGCAGTGGCTAACTTGACTTTTCTGCCAGTAAACGCTGCAAAAGCGTTAATGTATCTGGCCTTTTTTCACCTTCTGCCTGGTCATGAACAGCTGGGTGCTGTTCAAAGCTTATGATCTTTGCAACAAAGGGTTGTGCTACACTGTAAGCCCGGATAAGTTGAATTTACTTAAAAAATTTGAGGAAACCGGTTGCCTTAAAAAAATTAAGTAATGTTTAATGAAAACTTGAGTTAGAATAACTATAATTTTTGTGTTAGGCTAACTTAAACACATGTTTGTGAAACTCTTAAACTCTAGTTATTGTAATTTAACATCTTGAAATTGGAATTTGACTACGTTTTATTAGGCAATTGAATTTTTTTTCTAATTAAGTGATATTAACCACTTTGACAAACACCGAAGAGTTAACCTTTACAGTGTACATGGTCACTGACTGATATAAACCCCCACTCATCAGCAAAGAGTGCAACAACTTTTGCTCTTAGCCAACAACACAATGTCAGGCAACTGAGTTAAACATATATAAAACACATCCGCCTGAGGAAAGGCAGTCTGGGTCTGACGGTGAGTAAAACAAATGGAAAGAATCACTCAATATGCAAATAGATGGAGCCAGCAGCCAATGGGAAAGAAATATATGTTTAATCGAACAAGATCGTGTTAACAAAACACACATGTAACTGCATTTTACAGCTTACTTAGTTTGACTCCGTTTCACCCATTTGTTCAGCAACTTCAGTGAGAAAGAAACAATTATAACCAACAGAAACGTCGTCATTTTTTGAATGTAGGGATTCAAAGTTGCCATAGCAACAGACTAAACTAAATAGCAATAAGTTAATTCAACTCAAAAATGCCATTTGAGTGTGCAAAATCATCAAAAACGTTCCCTTAAGTTAAAATTGTTGAGTGATATGTGGGATATACTGAGTTTTATGTACAACAGACTTAATTTATTTGAGTTAAAACAAAATGCGGGATTACAGTGTACTAGTTTGTTAATTTGTTGTTAGTTTTGCTGTGCGGGTTGATGTTGATGTGCATATGCGGGTCGTTTCAGGGCATGAGTTTGTTCACACTAAAGACAGAAATGGATCACTTCAATACATGAAGGTGAACCATCAAGGCAGAAGATTGGATTTGAGCAAAAAATCTGCTCATTTCAGCACAAATTTCTGTATAACTTATTCATTGAGTTGTAAAGTCATTCAGAGCGGTTTGATATGAAATGGTTAATTGTAGAGAAACTTGCCATCTTGGATTTCTTCACATTGGAAGTGAAGTGGTTCTTCTGTGGCATCACATCAAAGAACCCTTTTGGCATCTTTCCTTTTAAGAGTGAAAACTAAGGCTTGTAATTTGAACATAGCTTAAGACATCCTTTAGAGTGACGTTATCTGGTCTCTGTCTGCAGGTACCTGTACTGCGGTGAACTCTCCTTACGCTTGGACCAAGCTACATCTCTGCACAAGCTGGCCACCAAATACGGTGTCTCAGATCTCCAGCAGGGACTGACCGAATACATGAGCCAGAACCTGGCCGGCGCCTCAGCAAGCGGTCATGTGGTGGGATGGTACGAGTATGCTGTGGCGGCAGGGGATGAGGGTCTGAAGACCACCTGCTTGCAGTTCCTGTCATGGAACCTGTCATCTGTCCTACGGAGTGCACAGTGGCCATCAGTCAGTGCAGAGCTGCTCCTGGCACTGCTGCGGCGCTCTGATCTGGTGCTTCAGAGTGAGCTGGAGCTGTTCGAGGGCTTGGAAGCCTGGCTGATCCAGAACGATCCAGACAGCTTGACTGTGGAAAATGCTCTCCGGGCGGTGCGCTATGCCATGATACCACCGCTGGAGCTTTTCCGCCTGCAGCGCTACTCACCCATCCTGGGTCGCTACCATGAGTCGGTGCGGGACCTTCTCTATCTGTCCTTCCAGTTCCACTCGGCTTCCCCGATGCAGCTGGCCAAGTTCTTCGATGTCAACTGCAGCCTGTTTGTGCCACGGAATTACTTAGTAGCATCCTGGGGTACATCCTGGGTTGTCAACAACCCGGTGCGGGATGATCGCAGCACCAGCTTTCAGACCCAGCTGGGTCCCAGTGGCCATGACGAAGGAAAGCGGGTGACGTGGAATGCTTTGTTTTCACCGCGCTGGCTCCCGCTTAGCTTGAGGCCCATGTACAATGAGCAGGGTGCCATGCACCAGTCCCAGGCTGCGCAGCCACCCATGAGTGCTGCTCGCCCACGCATCATCATCACTCCTACCACATCCAGTGCCGAGTTTGCAGGTGTCAGCTTCCAGAAGACTGTGATTGTGTCCACCAGGCAGCAGGGCCAGCTGGTGGTGCGCCACATCTACAACTTCCACCAAAGCACAGAGGAGGCTGGGGACTTCCTAGCTGGAGCTGACCTGCAACAGCGCACCTCTGAATACTTAACAGAGGGGTCCCTGCACCTGCATGTCATCATCAAACCCCTTTATCAGACACTCATCGCCATTAAAAAGTAAAAGCAGATGTGTTGATCGGCATCAGAGACACAAACGTAGCTGTAATCCGAAAGCACTGATGTTCTTCGAATGAGAGATGAGGATTCACTTCAGATGTTAAGAGGATGTGGAAAATTTTAAAGAACATGATCATCGACAAGCCCCTCGATCAGATGCTCATTGCCATGAAAATGTAAAAGCTAATGCGCCAATATCCAGAAGACCCAGCATTGTGTGGAATAAGAGATGAGAATTGGCTTCAGATCTTTAAAGATCTCTTATGATTTCAAATTTTGCCTATTGCTGCCAATCCCAAGCTAAACTTTTCATATGTGAATGACTCCACATTGTCACCAAGCAGAGATGGGAACTCAAGTCAGTGACTTGGACTTGAGTCACATTCAAGTTGCATGTTGATTGGCTTGTGACTCGACTTGGACACAACCTTAAATGACTTGCGTCTCGACTCTTTACTCCAGGGGTGTCCAATCTTATCCGCAGAGGCTGCAGGTTTTCACTCCAACAAAGCAGGAGGTCACCTGATGAAATACTTGAAGACTAAGACCAACTGATTAAAGAATCAAGTGTGCTTTTAGCTTGTTGGGAGTGAAAACCTGCAGCCACACCGGCCCTTTGCGGATAAGTTTGGGACACTCCTGCTTTACTATCTTACTTTAACCTCAGAGCTTCAGTTCCATTCTTTAGACTGGAGGTTTTTCTACAATGAAAGGCTCTTTCTTGAATTCATGCTGGAAGTGACAGGTTTTTAGTGGGAGTTTTCTTTTGTAAAATGCCATGAATGCAGCTAATAACGAGACTAAACTGAAATTCTCTACTAAAGATATAAGGCTTGACTTGGGCCCAATCCCATTTCTTCTTTTTACCCCTACCCCTTGTTTTCGAGTGTCACCATAACACCTCGGAACTGAGTTACAAGGGGTAGTGGTTGATATCTTGCCCTACGAAATGGGACAACCCTCAAATAAAAAAAAACAAAACACTGCTTCATTAAAAGGCGGTGCTCTGTAACGTTAGGTGACCCGGCCCGTCTTCAGAGAAGGGAAAAGTTCAGCGACCTTACTGCTGGTATAAATCATATGCCTTCAAAGAGGGGGTATGAAACAATTATTTATTATCGCCCACTGCTAATTCTTTGGTGAAGTCAGATATTCACCAGCTTCTTGTTCGAATTTTTCCGTTCCACCTTAAATGGTGCAGCATTTACATTCTGGCACTTCAGGCGTCAGAACTGCTGGACTATTTAAGGTGGGACGGGAAAGTTAGCTGGCTAGCTACCGAGACATTAGCATGCTATTAGCGATTTTTTATGCTTGCTATGAAGAAAATGACCATAATACACTGAAACGACATTAAACTAAGATAATACGATGGTTATTGGAATTTTTTAACAGAGAAAATTCTCACATTTGTGGGTTTCTTTGGTCGCTCATGCAGCCATCTTGTCGGTTTTTCTTTTTTTTCTCGTATCACTCCGTTTGGAGTCTCTGAAAAACCTCCGTTTGGAGGGCCATGTAGCCCCTACACTTCGTCCTACCCCTCTATCTCAACAAAAATCGGGACACCCTAGCCCTAGACGTGAACTCGCAAAACAGAGGGCTAAGGGCTAAGTGGTAGGGGCAAGGGGTGAAATGGGATTGGGCCTTGGTCTCACGCCTTAGAGACTCGTGACTTGACTCAAACCTGCACCTCAGAAACTCGAGGATTGACTCGGACTCGCACTCCAGAGACTCAAGACTCGACTTTGACCCATAATCCAGAGACGCAGGACTTGACTTGGACTTGTAACCCAGAGACTCAAGACTCGACTCAAGACTCACACCCAAGAGACTGGAAACTCAACTCATACTTGCACCTGAGAGACTCAAGACTCCATTTATACTCGCACCACAGAGACTTGACTCAGGATCTCACCTCAAGACTCAAGACTCAACTTGGACTTGCACTTTAGAGACTCGAGACTCGCATTTGCACCCCAGAGACTTGATCCCCAGAAACTTGACACTCAACTCGAACTCTCAAGAGTCTTGTGAAGATCTTTCATCAAGCCCCTGAAGTAACCACACAACACCACGTAAAATCACTGATATCCATCAAACAAAAGACGACAGTTTGAGTCCAACATCAAGAACACACTGAAGGTTCTGAAGAACACTGAAGGTTTTGAAGGACCTGTTCTTATGGCTGCCACAACAGGCTTTTTTAATGTGCAAATAAGCCGGATATTTCTTTTGCATCTTGCTAAAGTACATACAGCTATGAAATTGCTTGAATGAATTTATGAATTTCTCAAAAGATCAGACAACATAGACTCAGCGACAACCATCTGTCTGACTGAATAAAACTGATATGTAGGATTCTAGGAAAATCGTGTCTTCTGACTTTGCATTTGGTTTCCTAATTAAGGTAGATACTGTCTTACTGCATTGAAATGGACTTTATGCCTATAGCCTGCGACAGAGCGCACCCATATCACAGCCTTAGAGAAAGAGTACAGCCTCATGCACTGCTAGTTACATGTACAGCAACCAGACAATACATCTCCCACTTCAGAACTATCATTTACTCCTCACTGCACTGCTTCCAGACTTTTCAGAGCGACACAGGAACAATGAACATTGTTTCTTTGTGTAATGTGAAAAGGTGCTGCTGTAAATATGACACTATATCAGACCACTTTCAAGTTTGTAATCTCATGCAAACATTACAGTAAGTGTGCTTTAAAAAAGTCACCTAAACTTTAATTTGTAGGTATTTTGCATTTGCAGTAGCCTCATTGCTCTGAGAATGGCTCCTAATTCCTTGTAATAATTCTTGTATTCACAACATTTTTCCATTTATTTTAACTATTGTGAGTAATGATGTTAATGTGTTTTGTTGATTATAACTTAATAACTTACCTGCTGTATGAGTATATATATATATATATATATATATATATATATATATATATATATACATATGTATATATATATACATACATATATATAAAGTCAGACACCACCTTTTTTCATTTATTCAATTTTCAGGTATTTAACTCTATTCTTTAACCATCAAGCATGGTGGAGGATCAGGAGTGAATAAATTCTGGAGTTGCTGCTTTTTTATTATTATTCTTTTTTTGAAGGCATCATTAATTCTCATAAGTATAATTTGATTTTAATACCTCATGTTGTACCCTCTAGAAAACATTTGATTGGGAAGAAATTCATTCTACAGCAAGATAACAACCCCAAGCCCACTGCTGAGAAAAGCAAACTGCTGAGAAAAGCAAACAGTGGGCAAAAGGGTGAAAATTTTGACTTTTTATCTAGAAGTCTAGAAAAATGATAACTTTTAACACTTTTTTGTTGTTTTGAGAGGAAATTAAATAAAAAGGTGTTCTTTGACTTTTGCACAGTACTGTACACAATAATTCAAAAGTTTGGAATCACTTGCCATTATTAATTGTTGTAAATGTATTTAATAGTAAATTATACTGTGGAGAATGAATCATTATAAGTTAGACATCAAAAGATATTTTTATGTTTTATTTAATATTTTTATGTTTTCCTGGGAACAACAAAAACATATTATATGAAAAATAAAATACTATGTTTACTGTAATTCCTTGATAAATAATCCACCTCAAGATTTCGATTATCAAATTTCAAATATGAGACATTCTGGATGTTACTTTAAATAGTTTCATTCTTGATGTTCTACAGTTTTATGAGTCATTACAGAATCATCTTTCACTTTCCTTCTTCCAAGAAATTTACATAAAATGTTTATCTTAATATAATTATTTTATGTTATTGAAAACAGTGATTCCAAATTTTTGAATATGTAAATGTATATATATACCTCGTATCTCCATATTTATCATTTTTTCAGTTTTTGACATAATTTGAATTTGTTGGCCTTTATAGTGTGTGTAAATTTCACGAAAAACAGACCAAAAGAAATTCTGATTCCACTGACTTCCGTTAAAAGTACGGTAGGTTTCTTCCTTCTCCTGTAAAGTTACTATTTTGGAGACATGAGGTTTTGTTCAGACAACAGCGATATGCATATATATATATACATATATATATATATATATGTATATATATGTGTGTGTTTGTGTGTGTATGTGTGCGTGTGTATATATAAGTATGTGTGTATTAGTACATATTAAAATCCTTCCTAATACTGATTCTTTTCACCTATTTACCTAATAAAAATACATTGTGTTTCATTATGTTAATGTGCTTGTTTTTGTTTTCTTTGTTTTATATATATACACGTATTAAAATACTTCCTATATTTTTTTTGTTTTTTGAACGTTACAATAAACTTTTCCAATTTTTTTAACTTCTTCATTGATTTTTTAAAATAAATAAACATGAATAAATAAACAAACATTCAAATAAAGTGAACAGAAGTGGCACAGTAGGCGTGGCCTCCTCCTTCCCTTCCCTTCGCCGCCCAAAAAGGAAACCCGGTGCACTACAACTCCCATGAACCTTTGCGCGAGCTTTTTTTTTGTGGCAGGAAGAGCGTGTTCTCTCTCTGTATCTGTGTCTCTCTTTCTCTTTCTCTATCTCTCTCTGTCTGTCCATCATGCCGAGCGCCGCCGACTTTTCTCTGCGCGAAACTTAACGCGGAGGGGGGGCTTTTCGTGCAAAAAAAAACAACCAAAAAACTAAAAGAGAGACACGGCGTTGTGCGCTGCGTGCAGGCGGCGGCGCGCACCTTCACCCCCCCCAAACACACACATACACAGGAATACACACAGCACCAGCACCAGCAGCGAGCAGCACCGACACAGCACCGACACCGAGATTGCATGCAGATCGCGGCTCGTGCACCTCTGTTTGCAAGGGCGAGCGCTTTCTCGCGGCCAGGGGGAGGAATGGAGGGAGGGAGCGAGAACCAAGGCAAAGTCTTTCGCGCCTCCCCTCCCCCGCAGCAGAGCAAAGGGGAAATGTCCGTGTCCAGAGGAGGTGAGTACAGCTCGCCGTGCGTGTGCATTGCACGGC